ATTAGTGCATAAATTTGCATTTCTCCTGAGATATCAAAAAACTCAATGTGACAAAGTGTGAATTTCACTTCTCCTGTTCCTGGCCCCTCCATAGATGTCAGTCACTGGAGCCCAGGAGTTCAGGAGATAACTCGTTTCCATCAAATAAGATGGTCTCGATAAGACTTACAAGAATCGTTGTGATGTCGTACGTTATAGACGTAACCTATTCATCAGGCATGTAGCATCACTGATATTCAGGCATTTATTCCTTAGGGATAAGGGACCTGAAATAAATGTTGAAAAACCTCCGACACAAATATTAAGACGAATTGTTGTGATTATGAAAGTGAAATAATAATAATAATAAAAATTTAAAAGAGTGCACACACTCGCAACACGTAGTCTGCTTCAAAGTGATTCAATTTGAATATTATTAATTTAATTACATAGTAATTATGATTATTATTATTATTATTATTACTATTAAATTTTTTTTTTAGTTCAAAATTTAAATTTAAATTTAAAAAAAAAACAAAATATTAATAATAATAATAATTATAATTTTTCTTGAAAACATTATTATTATTATTATTATTATTATTATTATTATTATTATTATTATTATTAATATTATTATAAATTTTCGTCAGCTGTACTTAATAATAATAATAATAAATAAATAAATAAAAACGAAACTGGAGATAAGTTGTCTATTATTTCCCGCCATTTTGTTTTATTTTTTTCCTTTTGTGTTATTTGTTTTCCACTTTCTCTCTCTCTCTCTTTCTTTTCATCCAGGGGTTTTTTCATTAAAACCTGGAATCCGCCAACGCAAATTTTCTCCCACGTATTTTTCCGGGATGAAAATAAAATAGAAAGAGATGATGATAATGATGATGATGAGAACGTCAACGTTTTAATTTTTATAACAACGAGACTACGACGCATGATAAAGTTTTTCCTCTATTTCTCCCCCCCCCCCGATTTCTCCCTGTGAAATATATTATTATTGTTATTATTAGACAAATCTTTGGAAAATTCATCGGCCTAAAAATAAAAAAAAAACAAAACCGCAAATAAAAATTTATTCTATCGGTAATAATAATTCCAAACAAAATCAGGAATGAATGAATGAATGAATGGATGGATGGATGGATGGATGGATGAATGAATGGATGGATGAATGAATGAATGAATGAATGGGCGAACGAATAAATTACGAACAATAATTAAAACGGTTTTCAATAATAATAATAATTTTTTTATTTCGTTTTCCTCGTACGATAAAAAAATCGAATATACTTTATTATTATTATTATTATTATTATTATTTACTTAAAACAAACGTTTGTTGCATTGTTGGTCGTACAGAAAAAAAAGGTTGAATTATATTTAAACGGGAAAATTCTCAATAAATTTTCCATTTGTTTTATTTAATAAAAAATAAAAATCAAATTATCAACTTTTTGTTCGTATAAAATAGAAAAGTAAAAAAAAAGATTCAGATACTGAATTGACTTTCGTTGTTACTACACATATATATAAATTAAATTTAAAAAAAAAAATTTCCCAGAATTTTTTTTAATTTTTATTTTTTTCCACGTAAACGACGACGACGACGCCATCTTTGTTGTTGTTTTTTTTTTAAATTTTAATTTTTAATAAACGAAAACAATTTTTTATTTTTTTTAAAGTTAATTGAATTTTTATTATAAAAATACAAAAAATTATTGGTTTTTCGAAATGTAAATAAAACACGATAATAATAATAAGGAATAAAAAAGTTCGTTAGAATTTAAATTAAAAATATTTATTATAATAACGTCATTGAATAACGGTTTTTTTAAAGTTTAAAAAAAGAATGTTCTGGAAATTTTTTTTTTAAATTATTTAAAATTTTTTTATTATATATAATTTAAAGAAGAAACGATTATTATTATTATTATAATTGGTTATCGAAGACGTTTAAATAAATAAAAAAATTTTATTATTATTATTATTATTATTTACGTAGCCTAATTATATAGCCTAGTTACACGTCAATAAAAGGAAAAAAAAGGTCGAAAGAAAATTTTTGTGTCAAGTTATTTTTTTTTTTCTCCCTTCAGGTGAGAAATCAATGTGTGTCAATAAAATCAAAAGGTTTTATCGAATAAAAAAAATAAAAAATTTTTAGCGGGAGAAAAGGAAAAAAGAAAAGAAAAGAAAAGGAGGAAAGAAAATGTGCAGTTGCAAAATGGAAAATGCAAGAAAATTTTTCTGCAGACGCGAAATAAAAATAATAATAAAAAAAAAATCTAAAATTAAACGTTCTAAATTAAATAAATAATTCTTAAAAAGAAAATAAAAAATCTATAAATAAATTTACAAAAACAAAATCATCATCATCATCATTATTATTATTATTACTATTATTGTTTTTTTTTTATTATTTTTTTTAAATTGCGACATTTTCGTGTCTACGGATTTCGATTAAAAAATAAAAATAAAAAAAATAAAAAAATTATGCGAGAGTTAAACGAAAATGGGCAAAAGGGGGAAATGGCTTTCCATAAATTCGAAAAGGGGTTGTCAAGGGTCCGAGTACCCCAAGTCAAGTCTGTTTCTTGAAGAAGATTTCGCTCCGGCTTCGTTGCACAGGTAAAGGACAGGTACGATAATGACGTCCCGTGTCTGTCTATTTCGGAATAGTAAAGAGGAGAGGAAGGTACCTGACGATGGGTCGTCACTGTCTATCCAAGAACCTGCTCTAAAAGTGGAATTGGGATTCTTCCTGTGGGGTCTCTCACTGTCGCGGATGTGAACGGAAAGTTCTTGCTCTGAACTGGGGTTGTAACTGAGGTTGAAATGCAAATTACACTCCCACGGAAATCCTTCCTTTTCTGACCCTTACGGTAAAATGTTTAGAAGTTTTATTTGGCCAGAGGTTAAGTCCCACACCCTCCCTACTCTTCCGGATGGGGGGTGGTTAGTGCAAAATGCATCTCTCCAGGGTTAACAAACAAATTATTAATTAAAACAATATTCCGAGTTTTTTTATTTTCCGGTGAATAAAACCGGAAATGAAAAAGTTATCATCAAAAATAAAAAATAAATTAATTGAAAATTTTCAATTCTTAAAATAACCGTGGAAAACGCAATCCGCCATTTTGTTTTTGTTTTCCCTCCCCAACAATCCCTCATACCCTTTCTTTTTAAATTTCGCTCGCTCATTTTCACCTTTAACCTTTACTAATTTTTTTTTTTTTCGATCCCCGGGAGAAAAACTTGTTAACTTTTTCATTATATTTCGCGTGAAAATTTTTTTTTTAACGGAAAAAAAAATTTTCCGGTAGAAAGAGGAAAAAAAAAATGACCGTTAACGTTTTTAAATTTTATTTATATAAATAAATTTATTGCATTTCGTCGTTGATTATTTTTATTTTATCCGTTTGTTTGTTTGTTTGTTTGTTTGCTCGTTGCAAAAAAATCCTTGTTTTAATTTTATATTTACGTAATAAATTTTTTGTTTATAAAAAAAAAAAAAACGACGCCATGTAAATTTATTTTTTAATTGAAAAAGGAATGAACGCGATCCGCCATTTTCTGTTCCCGCGCCATTTTTAAAATCATTCGTAACGGTTAATAAATTAATTTACGAGTGAAATTTTATTTGAAAAAAAAAAAAAATGAAAAAATTTGGGAGGAGGAGGAGTGGGGGGCGTATCGAATAATCGGAAATGACGTATTAAAATATTTTTAACGTATTATTAAAATAATCGAATCGATAATTTTTAAAAAAAAAAAGTTTTTTTTTTTTAAAATTAATTAAGTTCTTGATAGACATGATGACAAAATAAATAAATACATAAATAAATAAATAAATAAAAGTTTATTTACCTTTGAACTGATTTCACGGTAGAAAAATAAAAAAAACGGTTTTTTTTGGGGGCAGGTTTCGCAACCACGTTCTCGAATTAAATTTAAAAAAAAAAAATTTTTTTATTTTTAGAGTTTTTAAAATTAAATTTTTTTGCGCGCGCTTTTTTTTTTTTTTGTAAACTTTTTAATATTTCGAATTTATTACGTCGACAAGAATAAATTTTAAATCTTCTTCTGACACGATTAAAATTTTTTTAGACAAAAAAATGGAAAAAAGTTTTAATCGTAAATTTTATTTATACTTAAAAAAAACGGAAACGGAAACACAAAAAAAAATTTATAAATTTATTATTATTATATATATATAAAACCACCCCACCAACCATCGAACAAAATCTGAATAAAACAAATTTTCTTTTTTTTTTTTTTGTTAATTTTAAAAACTTTTTCGAATTTATTCTAAAACCACGTTTTCTCTCTCTCTCTCTTTGTTCCTTAGAAAGAAAAAGTTTTTCCATTTCTTTCTTTCTTTTTTTTTTTTTAAAAAAGAACTTTAAATGTTATTTATCGTTTTCACTTTTTTTTCTTTTTTTTTATTATTAAACTTTTTTTGCAAACGCAACATTTAACCTTTGACCTTTTATATTAATAAATTTAAAATGATATTTTTTTTTTTTTTTTTTTCGTACGTTTGGAAAAAAATGAATGTTTCGAATTAAAAAAAAAAAACGATCGATAAACGGTAAAAAAAAAAAATGAAAGAAAAAGTCTCCCCCCTTTTTCACGGAAGAGTAGGGAGGGAGGGAGGGGGAGAAGGGGGAGAGAGAAAAATAAAATTGAATAAAAAATAAAAATATAGAACTTTTATTGAAAACTTGTATAAATATATATATTTATATATAAATAAATAAATAATTTTTTTTTTTTTGTACAAAATAATATTTTTCCTTTTTCCGATTTCGCGCACGCGCGCGCGCTCCTTTCCCCTCATACCTCCGCCATCTTTTCTTTTTTTATATATATTTAAAGGGAAAAGGAAAAGACACTGGAATTCGAATTGTAGACCCATTTTTATAAATATATTTGAGCACGTTTGTTTGTTTGTTTGAAAAAAAAAGGGAGCGGGGGGGGGGTTAAATTTTTAAATTTTGAATACCTCAAATACCCTCATAATTATTATCTTGATAACTTTCGCAATTTGATATCCAATCCCAAATTCTTTTTGTTATTAAATTTTGATCGATTTTAGTTTCTAAACTGTAAGTACTCGAAAGTCTTTTACTCCTACATTTACCATGTTGCGATTGTTGCGGTTGTTCACTAGAATTATTTTCAAAATTATCTTTATTATGTGATTTACTCGATGGAATGGCGGGTGACGACGTGGAATTAGATAATTTTGACGTGACCCAATTATCTTTTAAATATTTAAGAGTTTCCGTGACGGGTGGTCGTTTTTCCGGATCGTTATCAAACAAACGTCTGAACAGTCTTAACAAACGTATTGAAAATTTTTTAAAATTTCCCGGCATTTTAATAGTTCTCCTTTGTTGCCATTTGAAAAATATCTTATATTGTGGATCTAATATTTCGTCTGCTTTTTCCCAAGGCGGACAACCGGTTAAACAAACGAATATAACGATTCCCAATTGCCACGTGTCGTTCGAAGACACGCAATAATATTTTTCATTTTTAACAATTTCGCATACTTCCGGGGGTTGAAATGACGTCCAACAGCATTTACCCTTCGATACTAAACTCCCTTCTTTTCTCGTCCAACCGAAATCGCATAATTTAACTTTATCCATGTTTTGTTCGAACACTAATATGTTTTCTAATTTAATGTCTCTGTGTACTAATTTTTTCGAATGAAGGAATTCCAATGCTGACGTTATTTGTTTTGTTATTTTTTTACACTGTACTTCCGGTAATCCTCCGGCTTTCACAAAACCCGATAAGTCACCCAATGGTGCATATTCCTGAGCATACGTATAACAATTATTGTACAGAAAACAAACGGAATAGGAAGACAATATGTTTGGATGTGGTGATAAATGATAATTATAATGATATTCTCTAAAAAAGTCTTTCGACGTCGTCAATTCTTTATGAATTTGTTTGAGTACGACGGTTGTGTTTGTTCTCTTATGTCTGACGAGACTTATTTTAGCAAAATAACCTTCTCCTAATGTTTTTATGACGTCATATTCTTCGTCGAAATTTATTTCTTCCAAATCGACTTCTAATATTCCATGAATTGTACTATCTTTCTTTTCTCTACTCTTCATTCTGTAAACAAATAAATAAAAAAAAAACCGTTATTTTAAGGGCATCCAACATAACCTTTCTCAATCATGTACTATTGCACGTACACACACACGCACGCACGTGTTTTCTCGATTACGTAACTTTTTATGTCACGTGTTTGTTAAAAATTAAATTATATTTAAGCGTAACGACAATATTAAGGGTTTTTGGATGTTGGCCAACCTGTAAATGGATCATTGTGTTTACATTATTCTTCCATAAAAAATATTTTTTTTTTTTTAATCGCGACACGAGTCACGTCGTTTTTCACGGCCTTCTCGATTCGTAATCAGTCTGATAACAAATATCACGTGAATCGCACGTGAATTTATAGAAACACACAAATGATAATAATAATAATAATAATAATAATAATAATAATAATAATAATAATAAGAATAATTTCCCGGGTTTTTTTTTCGTTTGAAAACGAAATCGTTTTTTTTAAAAATAACTTCTGGCATTGGAAAACATTTTTATATTTAAAAAAAAAAATTATTATTATTATTAAAAAAAAAAAAAGAAATAGAAAGAAAATTTAAAAGAATTGATTGTGTTTTTTTTATTTTTTGGAAATTATTATTATTATTTTTTTTTTTTTTTGGTTATAAGGTCAAGAATTTTTGCCAAATTACCGTGGAAGAAGAAAAAAGTTCTGGTCAAAAAAAAATTTTTTTTTTTTTTTTTTTTTTTTTGTAAACGTATGTCAAAAATAAAACATTTTAAATTTAAAAAAAAGATGATAAAACCGAACGCCCACAAATATTATTATTATCAATACGTGCATACAATATTATTAATAATAATAATAATAATAGAGTTTCCCAACAACGTATTCGACCTTATCAAACGCTAATAATAATAATAAAAGTGGATAAAATTTATTTAAAAAAATTAGGACGCGAACTACGGTTAATTGAATCGCAAGGTTTTATTTATTTATTTTATTTTTTTTTATTTCGCGATCAACAATAAAAACAATAAAAAAAAAAAAAGATGGAGACGGATAATAAATAAATAAATAAATAAAATAAACATATTGTTTTTTTTTCGTACGTTGTCGGAGTCGATTTTTTAACGACGAACATCATCATCATCATCGATTTATTCATTCGCGTAACGTTCGTTCGTTTCACGTTTCTTTTTTTTTCCGTACCTGCGACAAATTTTTCTCATTTTCGCGACAATTTTCCCCCGCGATATACTCCAATTTCATAAAGAAACGGCTCGATTGCATATTGAGTGCGTTATTTTTACGTAACGGTTTCCAAATATTTAAAAAATATAAAAAAACGTCGTCGGATATTTATAGAAATTGTAAATAATAATAATAATTAATATGGTTTTTCCAACAAATTTTCCGTTTATTATGACGGGAAAATTATTTATTTTGTTTATTTACATTTTTAAATAAATCATTCGTTTTAAAAAAGTTGCACTTATTTATTTATTTATTTATAATGAGTTATAACGGTTTAAAATTTCGACATTCGTGACGTTTTACTCCACGTAAATAATTATAATGAATGACGTCATATGAAAAATTTCGTAAAAATTTTATATTTTAATTTCGAGAGGTTATTTTTTTTTAAAAAACGATTATAAATTTTTAATTGATTATTGATTGATTGATTGTAAACGTCGATTTATTAATTGTTTACTATTTTAAAACCGTTTAAATAAATAAATAATTGAAACGTTACGTGTGAGATGCATAAAATTATTATTATTATTATTTATACGTGTATCGAAATGTGGTCTCGATGATGAGGAAGTTACCGTTGTGAAATTTTGTCTAATACCACGACATAAATTTTATGGAATAATTTTTTAAAATCAAGGGAAAATTTGCAAAACAAACTGTTTTTGTTGTTGTTGTTGTTGTCGTGAAAATAAATTAAAATTTCTTTGTTTTTTGATTTGAAAAGAAAAGAGAAAGAAAAACATTTTTAAAAAGAGGAAAAACAAACAAGAAAATGAGAAAATTCGTCGCCGTAAAAAAAAAAAAAAAAAAAATTACTACTACGAGTGCCAAAAATAAAAATTTTTTTTTAAGCTTTGTATAAACTAAACAATGGGTTATTTAAAAAAAAAGGAAAACTTTTTAGGTTTTTCCATTAAAAATTGTATAAAACTTTTCTTTTTCCTTTTTTATTTTGTTACGGTAATAAAAAAAAAAGAAAGAAAGGGTGGGGGGGGGAAAATTGAGGTGTGTAATTTTCGGACAATGTTAATTTTCCTTACCGAGATTTTCTTTTATTATTATTATTATTTTATGCAAACCGATGACGAAATTTTAAAAAATTATTAATAACGTGAATAATTTTTTTTTTTTTTAAATAATGACGAAACCGTAAACTTTCCCCCCTCCCTCCCCCGCTCCCACTTTTATTATTACATAAAATTTTTTTCTGACCGAAAAATTATTTTTAGTTAATGATTAAATATATAAATAAATATAAATATATATAATTTCACAAAAATTTATTTTTAATACTCTCGCGATCCCCGAGAAAATTTAAAAAATACTATCATTATTATTATTATTATTAAACGAAAAATCATTTTTAAATCGGACGTGAAGAAAATCACGTTTATACCTATTTTCTTTTTTTCTTAATTTAAGAAGATTTATTTTAAATATATTTAACTTATGAACAAATAAAATTATTTACGATTCACGGTAATGGAAAGTATACATTCTGTCGCGAATTATAATTATTCTTTTATTTGTTTTTTTTTTTTTTTTAAATAATAATTGATATGTGACGTGTGAGCAGAAGAAAAATGTAAAAAAAAGTTCAATGTTCCGATGAGACCTTTCGTAACCTTTCCTTACCTTTCCCCCCAACCCTCCCCTTCCCCGAGTAAAAAAGATTTAAAAAAAAAAAAAAATTTTTTTTTCGCTTCAATAATTTTTTTTTTATTCGTTACCGTTTTTTTTCCTTTTATCGTCTGCTTTTTTTTTTTAATCGAAACAAAAATGTTCTAGAAGTATCGGTTTGATTGATCTCCCATAATTACGTAATAAAGTCCGTGGAAAAAAAAAAACAAAATGGGAAATGCGTGTATAAAAAAAATTTTCATCACGAAACCTCTTAATTTTCTCTCTCTCTCTCCCTCTCTCTCTCATTTTTTTAAAATCATTTAAATAATCATCATCATCATCATTATCATCATCATCATCATCATTCGTAAATAATTAAAATTAATTAAAAAAATGAAAACTTTTCCTGCAAAAAATAAAACCCGGAAAAAAAAACAAGAAAATTCCTTTTAATTGTTCTCTAAACGAACGAAAATATTATAAAAAAGAGAGCTGAGGAATGACGTCATACAAGAGAGCTTTGACGTCATTCATATCGATTCGTTTTCGATTTCACGGGCTTTCAATTCGCCTCTTTGAATTTTCAAAAAAAAAAAGATTTAAAAAAATCGTCTTCGTTCGCGTCGTCGTCGGTTTACGACTCGTGTCAGTTATAATAATAAATTTTTTAATGACGTCAAATGGTTGAGAAGCTTATTCCATCTTTCTTTCTCTTTTTCTTTTTTCTCTCTCTCTCTCTCTTTCTTTTTTTTAAATAAAAAAACAAAAGAAAAAATAAATCATTTTGTATTCAATAATTTCTTTTTTTTTTTTTTATCGCCTGGAAATTATTTTTTTAAATTTATTTCTCTCGTTTCCGATATGACGTCATAGAAAATAAAAACTCTATCATCATCATCATCATTTTGCATGAAACCGATTTTCCGAAAGGCGTTAATTTAATAAAATTAAAATTAATTAATTAATTTAAATAACAGACATTTTAAAAAAAAACAGTCAAATCAGCAACTTTATCAGAAAAAAAAACCGTTGAAAAATAAACTAATAATAATAATAATAATAATAATAATAATAATGCAATAAATAAACCGTTGCATGTACGTTTATTATTATTATTACTATTTTCGTTTACGTAAAATTTTTGGCAAATATTTATTTATTTATTTATTTTTTCTTACGTGTGAAAATCATAAAATAAATCGTTTTGAAAACGTTTAAATAAATAAATAATTGTTTTTTGTTTAAACCTCAATTTCCAGGAAATGAATCGTTTTCAAATTTTTTAATTGTAATATTATCATTATTATTATTATTATTACTTACTAATTACTCCCTCGACCATTTAAATAAAGAATTTCGAAAACGTTTAAGATTTCTTATTTAATAAAATTTTATTAAACCGTGAGTAAATGATTAAAATGTCATCACAACGAATTTTATTTATTAATTAAAATTATTTTCCGAGTAAAAAATTAATCATTCATTCATTCATTCATTCATTCATTCACTTCCTATTTAATAATTATTTTATTTTATTTTATATTATTATCGGGTAGTAATATTATTACCTTCGACAATCATCGTCTTTAAATTAAAAAACAAATTATTATTATTATTATAAACGTGTAAGTTAATTTCAATATGGCCGACTTTAAAAAAAATTTATTAACTTTATTAATAATCATCAAAATTATTCTAAATCCCCCTTCCTATTATTATCATTATTATTATTGTCACCATCGTAATTTATTAATTTACTTATTAACGTCTTTTTTTAATAAACAATCGATCACTGCTAGTAATAATAATAATAAATTAATCAATAAAAAGTTATGTTGGAAAAGCCAATACTTGAATTATTAAAAAAAAATTTTATTTATTTATTTTTTTTTGTAGAAAATAAATTATGTAAATAATAATAATAATAATAAGATAGAAATAAAATTTATTAATCGATTAAATAATGCTAATAATAATAATGATGAGGATGATATTATGTAATAGTTAAAACCGTTTCAGGTAAATCACGTGTTTTAATTTCGTTCCCGGGAAATTCAAGGTTTTTCCTTTCTTTTTTTTTTTTTTATTACCGTTAAAAAAAAATTTTTTCTTTTCGAATTCTGTGTGTGTGTGTGTGTGCGCGCGGTGCGTGTATGCGTAACCCATTGAAAATTAAAAGTTGTGTGATATTTCACGATTAACACAATAATTTCGAATCCCTATAAAATTATTTATTTTTAATAATATAATAAATAAAATTAAAACAAAAACAAAATCGAAACTTACTTTTTTGTTTGTTATCGTCTTTGACATAAAATGATAAATTATTATTATTA